CAGAGACTCACAGACAGGAGGATAGAGATGGGGGGACAGAGACTCAGAGAGATACAGACGATGTCTTAGAGAGACAGAGAATGTCCACACAGGGAACGTGGTGTTGGGATGAGCTGCTTCCCCCAAGCCCCTGCCCTCACACCCACCCCCAGACTATGATGAGAGAAGCCACCTGCATGATGCCTTCACCCAGATGACCCACTCCCTCCAGGACATGGCCACCGCCCAAGGTGAGTGGGGTGAACACCAGTGGAAGATGTGGGCTTGGAGCCCCTAAGAGATAGTGTGTGTGCAGGAAGGGCCCAGGAATGTGACAGTGACCTGGGAGGACGAGGTGGTGCCAGGTAGCAAGTTAATTGCCAGGGAGATACTGGCGGGACGTAAAGGGACAATTCAGAAATAACCTCGAGTCTGAGGCCCAGTTGGGATCAGGTAGACGTATGTTTTGACCTCACTGTGTGGCTCACCCTCTTCTTGGCTATGAGGTTTTGGACATGTTGCTGCCTCCTGTGCCCCAACCTACCTCCCTGTAAGGTGGGACAGTTTCATTGCCCCCCAGGATGGCTTTGGAGCTCAGTGAGAGAGAGGAGCCCCTTGATGAGACAACCTCAGGGAGGAGATCTTCTGGCATAAAACATATGTTCCTTATGCCAGAGACTGGAACTGCTGGGGGTAGAAGGGAGGGAGGAAGGCCTGGGTTCTGTCGTGCAGCATAAACTGGCCACCTCAGAGGTCCAGGGGCTTGGCTTATTTCTACAGCTGCCATTACTTCTTTTGTTTTCTGCTCTTGCCCACCAAGCATTCTGACAAAGAGTCCCCCAAAGATGGGGAGGTTCCCATCCACCCAGGGGGTGTCTGGGGCTCCAGCATGGAGGAGACTTCAGCTGCGAATCCCCTACCCTCGGGGAGACTTGAAGAACTCAGAGCTGGCAAAGGGGCCAAAGGACCCCAGGAAATGCCCTTTCTCCCCACATAGGCTATCTTGTCCCAGAAGGTTTTGAAAAGAGGGGAGCAAGATCCCTTAGGGCTGTATTTGGGACAGTCTGGAGCAAGGAGAGAATGGAGGCTGGGAGGCCTGGGTGGAGGCTGGGGTGAAAACGGCCTGAGCTGGGGCAGGGGCTGTGAAGGTGGAGATGAGGGGACAGGGCTGCAAGAGTCAAGGGCAGAAGGGACAGGGCTCAGGTCCGATGGACTGTTTAGGGAGAAGGGAAGAGGAAGGTTAGAGGACAGTGCCCAGGGGCTCCATGTGCCGGGGTGGGGGCCAGGGCGGTGGGTCATCCCTGAGATGGGGGGCCTGGGAGAAAAACCAGCTGGGGTAGATGGTGACCTAGGCTAGGATTTAGTGACTGTGAGGGGCCCAGAAAGCAGCTAGATACATGGGTTTAGGGTTCAGCTGAAAGGTAAGGAAGACTTGAGGCTCTGTCCTGGAGGAGCAGGGCTGTGAGGAGGGAAAGAACAGGGTTTCCTCTGGGTGTAGAAAGATCCTCTGGGGCCGTGTTGAGGACAGACTGGAGGCCGGGAGAAGCTGGTGCAATATGTTCCAAAGATATTTATTGAATGTGCTAGGAACAACACCGGGGACACAGCTGCGACCAAAACTGCAAACCACCTGCCCTTAGGTTGCTTATATGCAGCAGGGTGGACAGACAATAAACATGATGAAATAGTATGTCAGTTGGTGATCCATGCTACGGAGGAAAACAGAAGGGGAAGAGAATGGGCCAGTGGGGTGATCATTTTAAACAAGTTGGTCGGGGGAGGTGGAAAAGAGAAGGTACAGTTGAGCAAATTGGTACACTGAACAAGATGACAGTGAGAGCCATACAGATAATCTGGGAAAAGAGTGGTCCAGGTAGAGAGAAGAGCCAGTGCAAAGGCCCTGGGGCCAGTGGGGCTGGAGTAAAACCACCGAGGGAGGAAGCAAAGGAGGTGAAATCAGAGAGATAGCAAGGGGCCACATCTGTAGGACCTTGTAGGCCAGTGGTTCTCCAGCCCCACTGTGCATCAGGATCTCCTGGGAGCATGTTAAAATGCAGTCTTAGGCCCCACCCTCCATATTTGACCAGTAGGTCTGAGGTAGGGCCTGGAAATTGATATTTCTAACAAGTTCCCAGGTGACGCTCCTGGAACACACTTTGAGAACTGCCATTGTAGGCCCTTGGACCAACTTTGGCCTTTGTTCTTGAGATGGAGGGGAGCATTGGAGGATTTTAAGGAGAGAGAGAGAGAGACAAGATGTGACTAAGACCAAGGGCAGAAGCAGGGAGACTGGTGGTGACTGGGCCAGTCACAGTGGTCCAGATGGGCCAAGATGAGGTCTGAGCTGAGGGGGATAGGCCATGAGGAGGGAGGAGGTGAAGGTCAAGGACTTGAGTATGTGCCAAACCTGCCCTATACATGGGAAAGGCTGACAGAGAATTATTTATGTTAATTAACTTCCTAAAGGATATTCTCTTACCAGCCCTGTGAGGTGGGGTTTATAGCCCCATTTTCTAGATGGGAAAGTTGGGGCTCAGCTGGACAGGGAGGACAGACCCAGGAGACATCTGGACCAGATGTGTGTGGGGGGAGAGCGATAGGAAGAAGGTTGACTCCCAGGTCTCTCCTAGATGGAGGACCCGAGAGAGACATGCTGACTTAGAGTGGCTCTCGGTGGTGTATAAGCCATGGAGTGGAGAGTATGGTATAGAAAGGAAGACGATATGCTACAAGCAGTGGTTACATGCGGGGCTCTGGAGCCGGACCGCCTGAGTTCAGATCTAGCTGTTTGGTGTTGGGCCACTTTCCTAACCTCTCCACGCCTCAGTTTCCCCATCTCAAACTTGGGGATGGTAATACTAGTGGTTGACCCCTTTGTAACACTTCCTGTATGCCGTGCACCATGCTAAGCACTTACAGGTGTTATGCAGTCACCAAATGGTAGCTGGCACATAATTTGGGACAGGAGTGAGGATGCTTTTATGTTGTGTGGT